CATCGCATAATGGGGTCTGTATTCAGCATGGGAGTGGAGGGACATATGGGGTTGGTTTGGTAAGAGTGAAGGGAAATGAAACATTTACTCCAGCTTCCTCAACACTGCAACAGGCTTACCGAGGACGACTTAAGGTGGAAACTATAACTGGCTGTACAGTTCAGCTTCCAATTTGGAATCAGCTCATGTATTGTTTACAACACCAAAAAGGTATTACCTTCTAGAACTATCTGCGAAACACAAAAGATCTCCAGACCGAACAAGTTGTACATAGAACACATGATCATGTCCAGATTGCCCAGCAATTTCACTGCTCATTAACCATGTGGTAGAGCAAAGAATTATTATGGATAATCAAAAACAAAGGCAGCTTAGTAATGCTGACCATAAAAGTCACTTATGGTTCGTGTAAAATTTGGGTGAGAGAAAGACAGAATTCTTCCATATGCTGTGCATCTGCAAACCACCAAAAAGAAGCCAGCAAGAGAATGAGGAAGGGGGGGGTCCTCCCTTCTAAATTCTACTAATCAACCCCAGCCATGCACAGAACATATAAATTAAGGCTTATCAGTACAACATGGCAGTACAGTCCGGGTTAAACTAGATGGCCTAAATATTAATGTATGTAAACATGCTCTCTACTCCCTGGAGTTTAAATATATCCTTGACAACTCTGTACGTGCAAGACATGTAAGATGATAAGAATAATTTAGTGGCAATCTACCTTAAGTCAGAAACAACTCAGCAGAGCTTTCGGAACACAAACTGCTTAAATTACTCCACTTTATCAAAATAGAGTGCATGCTGACAAGAGCGCAAATGACCCCCGCGAGGAATGCAACATCAACATGTACTGTATGTTGACTGTGGAGCTGAATCTAAAAAGCCTTAAAAATTTATGTGACTCTGTGAAATGCTGTGCTGTGGCGCCATCTACTTGTCATTGTAACACTTTTGTACTATCTAGGTCTATGGTCCCTTTACAGATAGAAATAGTACAGAACAGTGGTTCTCAGTCCTGGATCTGGAGATTACATTGTAGATGTTTCCTTGCTGCAACACCCAGTTCCAGGGCATGTTAATTATTTCATTGTTAAATCAGGTGTGTAGGGCACTCAGAAAGCAGCCGTGCAAACAAAGTGCTTCTGATGCTGGAGGTGAATCGGCTAATATTCAAGACAATTTCATAATTTCAACATGTTTAAATCATAACATTCATTCCAGGGGGGGTCCAAAGTTCAGGTATTTATTTTTTCCTTAAGTGTCCTAACTTCACTGCTGCCATTCCACCAACTAGCAATGTTAAGAGTAACATAATTACTGATATACCTATTAAAGATAAAGTATCTAACCACTAGAAATGAGAAGACATGAGAACTGCTCAAGGAAACAATCAGTTAATGTTCTCTGTGTTTCTCCAATGCAACATTGGTTGCATCTCATGCAGAATACAACATTAGTTCATAGATGCATCAGGTGCATTGGGAGCAGGAGAAACTCTAAAATGTACAGGGCGGGAGTCCTCCAGGGCGGGAGTCCTCCCAGACAGAGAACCACTGGTATAGAATCTGTGGGCCTATACTGTTACTGTTCATTATGGAGGGCCTTCATCAGCTGTATAAGCAAAGTGCTTCAAATGCTGGAGGTGAATCACCTGATATTCAAATTTCAACATGTTTACATGTTGCATTCCAGTGGGGCTCCAAAGTCAAGAGTGTGTACAGATGTTTCTTTTTTCCTTAAGTTTCCTAACTTCATTGCTGCCATTGCAAAACCAGCAATGTTAACAATAACATAATTACTGTTATACCCACTGAGGATAAAGTGTCTAACTACTGGAAATGTAAAGACATCAAGGCTGATGCCTCAGAACTGCTCAACAAAACAATCAGCCACTGTTCTTTTTGTTTTGCCAATGCGAAGTTGATTACATCTCATGCAAGAGATACAATAAACATCTCCTGCAATGATAAAAAGTTATGGTCAATCATGGTGGAGTGGTTGTAGTAAAGTATTAAAATACACATTTTTTAATCCATTTGTTGTTTCTGTCAGGTCTGTTGGACATCAGTGGAGGTTCCTAAAAAAACGGAGCAGTCAGAGGATCATCTTGGAGGTTTCTGACGTTTTTATGTGTTGTTTCACTTTTATTTATAGCACCGTTTTATTCTCAGGATGATTTGTGAGCACCAAAGGAATTCTTTCTGTCTTCGTAGTTTATTGTTGTGTTTATTGCGCAGAGCTTCCCTACTCTTTTCCTTTCTTCTCTCTTTCTCTATGATGTTTTTTTTAATACACAGGAAAACACTCAGGAAAATATTCACTCTTTGCCTTTCTTGGAGAAGTCATAATTTTCTCTACAAATGTGTTTAACTAGTAATAACTGTGACAAAAGAGTTTTGCAGTGGTTGGGATGTTGGGATGTAGACAGTATAAGTAAGAATCAATAATTTTGTAATCGATGACGAGAGTCAAAGAATAATTTCTTGAATTTAAGCAAAATGTCCAAAAAAGTAGGAGTCGGTATGCACACATGCATCACTCTGTTTACTCCAAGGCTGTAGAATTCCTTGGTCCTCGTGTTGAGCAAAAGCACTACAGAGTCCAAATGCAAAAGTAACAAACTCTGTAGCTTTAGGTTTTGTCCACAGAATCGCCTCTAGACCTTCCATTGGCTCTCTTGCACATACATTAATGATGCAATGACATACAGCTAGCCAAGAAATACTCATGCATTGAAATGTAAAAATATCTGATGTTCTTTCCTAACAGTTTTGTAAGATTAACAATACGTTTTTGAACATCCTAGCAAGTTTTAAATGCTTTCTGTCCTTCTTTTCTTGCCTTCTTACCTTACTTTTATTGGCAACATGCCATGACCTCTACAGAGCTGTTTAACAGTTTAGTTTTTCAAAGTTTCTGCATAATTATGTTATTAATATATAAAGTCATTCAGTGTGATTTGATGTGAAATGCTCTGTTCTAAATAAATTTACTAGGTCAGAAATGTTCACAGCATGGGTAATAGGAACCAGACAAAAACATTTAATACCTCTAAAAGCTAAATCAGAGAATGTTTTCACACAAAACAATTATGAATATGTTACCAGATGCCTAAGACATTGTTTTACAGCAGCTTTACAGCAGCTTTTTTTTTTTGTTGTTGCGTATTTATAGTGGAGAGGTACATCCAGGGCACTGTAAGGCATAATAGTACCGCTATTATACCTTTATCAATGCCGCATATAAAAACTCAGAAGACATATGGTAGTTTTGGACAGTGAATGAAGTGACCCCTGATTCCTGTCACCACCGCTGTAAAGAAATTAGAGTCATTAGGTTTCTCTACAATGAACCATCTCACATGAAACCACTCTGAATGACTTTGTTTACATCTCGGTTACTTAATTATTTTTAATTTTTTTATGAAATCTGTGAAATTCCACTTTCAACTTGGACTGGCTGATTTACCAATATCGAATGTTGCATTTGTTGTGATTGCGTGTTGAGTGGTTCGTTGGACAGACCTGGAACTGGACAGTCAATCAGTCATTCAGACAGACTGAAATATATTCTCTCTGTGCACATATAGGCTTTTGAGACATCTAAAAGCAATTGTTTTAGAACAAATGTATTAAAATATTGTTTAAGCCCAAATGCCTTTAAAAATTATGGCCTTATGCACAAACCAAAGCGTTTAGAGTCTACAGCAAAAATACCAAAACAGGACCACAAGAGATACACTGTCCAAAGGATACACTGTCCAGTGTTTGGACATCTGTAGACACCTTGTAGACATCTACTCCAATGTTTCTTCTGAAATCAAGGCTATTAATAGGGTGTTTGCTGCAATAATAGCCTCAACTCTTCTGAGCTATCTTTTCACTAGGTGTTGGAACACTGCTGTGAGGATTTCACTGCACAAGAGCCACGAGAGCATTAGCTTGGTCAGGTGCTGATGCTGAATGATTAGTTCTGGATTGCAAATGTCACTCTAGCTCATCCCAAAGATATTGGATGGAGCTCTATCACTCCCTAGAACAGAGCTCCACTGCTCTACAGCCCAGTTAAGGGGGGCTTTGTACCCGTCTGACACTTGGCATTGAGCATGGTGATCTTAGGCTGCTGAGAGTCCATGCTTTTGTAACGTCTAGAATTGACTACTGCAATGCTGTGCTACATGGACTCGCTGCTCGGGTTCTGAATAGGCTGCAGTATGTGCAAAATTCAACTGCTAGGGTTTTAACCCACACTAGATCCTGGGAACACATCAGTCTAACTTTGAAGCATCTTCGCAGGCTTCCAGTTCAGTATTGTGTTCAATACAAACTGGTTTTGCTGGTTTTTAAATCTTTGTATGGCCTCACCCCCTCCTACCTTGGTAGTCTGTTTCAGTCATACTCTCCAGCACACACTCTTCGCTCCTCTGACTCACATTTGCTCGTTCCTCCCTCTAAGCTGCGTATTTTTGATGTGCATTCAGTGTTGCTGGCCCCAAGCTGTGGAACAGTCCCCCCTCTGAGTTGTGTGCTTGTTCGACCCCTGGCTATGTTCAAAGCATGTTTGTATATGTTTTTATTTATTTTTGCTATCTTTATTGTACAGTGTCCCTATCTTGAAAGGTGCTTATCAAATAAAATTTTATTATTATTATTATATTATATATGTGTGGCTTCTGCAGAGTGTCCCATTGTAGTGGCAATGCTTTTCTAAGGAGATATAACTCGTGTCAAAATGGGCGCAGCTTAAAGTAGCTGAAGTCACCATTAAGCAGGGGTGTCTACTTTTGGACATACAGTTATTAGGCCTGATTTCCAGCAGCACTTGGGAAAACAGCAGAATCAGACTCCTGTTGAGTCGTTCACATAAATAAAAAATGCAGTGTGATTAAAATGACAGGCAAGTCAGATGTCACCTTCAGCATAAAAGTGAATGAATTTAGACTTTTTTTTTAAGTTGGGTCGGAGTTACTTGGCTCTTTAAATGACGTCACTCGGAGGCGAAACGCGTCCGGGTTTCTCTGCGGTGTGTGAACAAAAAAGGGGGTGAAAAAAAAGAAAAAAAAAGCTGCAGTCTGTGTGAACTGAACCAGGCTGTCAGTGAGAGCACCGAGAGGGAGAAATGGCCCAACGGTAGTAGCTCTGCTCTGTGTGTCTAGCCTCTGCGAACAGACGCAGTCAGTCAGTCAGTCGGCTCAGCAGGACAGCACACACACTGCGGTGACCTCTCCGCTGAGAGGAGGGAGGGAGGGCGACGGACACGGTGAGTTAATCAGAGCTCTGATTTGGACGTCGTATTTGCTTGAAATCTTTTATATACATATCTGTATGGCTGGTGCAGCCCCTCCAACAGCTGTGCCCCTGAGTTATCCAGCAGGTTAATGTGATTCTTAGGAGATCCCTGGATGATGTAAGCTGCGTTCAATAGCTTCAAGCACGAAGCTGAAGTCAGCTTCCTATTCGCCAGCTTGTTGTTCGAATTTCCCCGTTCCACCTTAAATGGTGCAGCAGTTACATTCGGGCGCTGAGGCGCCAGAATGTAACTGCTGCACCATTTAAGGTGGAACGGGGAAATTCGAATAGGAAGCCAACTTCAGAGACCCAGTAGCTGGTGTTTGAGTGAAAATGGCGGTCACTAACGATAGTGCAGGCCCTTTGCCGATATGTGGGGCTCTGTACAGTGTTTGAGTTGTGTTAGCATTGTAACGTTACTCGCAGTTTTATGTAACGTTAAAGCGCCTGTTGTTGTCAAGCTGTATAAGCGCAGTTACAACTCTTCATTATGCCTGTGTGATTTGTACTGGCCGAAACGGCAATGTAGGTGACCAGTGCCCACGACCAACTGTCTTTCTAGCGAAAATAGCGAAGTTACATGGTTTTAAGCTTTAATCTGAGAGCAGCTGCTCTCTGTCACGGAGGAAACCTAATCTAACCCGGCCAGATTGGGTTAGCCCAGCTGTCGTAGCATAGCGTAGCTAGAAAGCTAGCTAGCTAGCAACCAACTAAGTTGGCTGGTTGCTTATGAGAAGTGAAAAACAGCTAAGCTAACTCAGAAACGATTTGTTTACATGTGTAGATAAGTAGACAACAATGACGTCTCTTAGCCTGCTACTTAAGCCAGACGACGTTGACTTTTAAAACGTCAAAGTTGTTAACCTGTGTTAGCAGCGTTAGCATGTTACAGCGCAGCCCGGTAATGTTCAAAACAAGCGTTAGCCGAGCTAGCCCTGTGAGCTAGCCTGGCTAGCCCGCTGACTGTTCAGCCTACAACGGAGCAAGTTAGCAAATTGTTTTAAAATATTTAAGACCGCAAAAGTAGCTAGGTTATGTTGCTGGCATTGGCGACTAGTAGTCGTCTTCACAGTTAACTCGCGTTTCATCGACGCCTACAGCGATACGATACAGGTAAGTCACGTTAAGTTAATATTAGTGAAGTGGTCATTTGTTGGGACTGGCCAGCTAACAGATAAGCTAACCTACGTGACCAGCCAGACTTGTACATAACATGGCTAGCTAAATCGCAGTAATCGAGTAAACAGACCAAATTTAAGCTGGTTGGTGCGAAAAGGCTTGTAAAGAACGAACATTTAGATCAGCGGACCAATAAAAATCGCAGCAAAGCAGTTGACAAACATCTAGCCAGCAGCAGTAACAAAAAAGTCTAACAAAATAGTCATTGCACTCTTAAAAAATGGCTTTTCAAGGGTTCTTTAGTAGACGATGGTTCTGTATAGAACCACGAGCACGCAAAAAACTATTTGCATTTAATTTGCATAAAATGGACCTTCAGTCTGATGAGAGTGGTGTTTATGGTTCTATAACCTTTTGAAAATGGTTCTATATAGCACCAAAAATGGTTCTGCTGTTGTTACAAGCTTGACATTGTAACAACGACAGGATGTTTTTTGGTGCTATGTAGAACCATTTTCAAAAAGCTTCTGTACAGAACCACATACAACACACTCCCCATCAGTCCGAAGAACCATTTCACCATGCAAAGTACAGTTTGAGAGAGCTCTTTGAGTGTTAATTTTTTCCGTATAGAACAATTGTTATTACTAAAGAACCCTTGAAGAACCATCTTTTTCAAGAGTGTGCGTGTTTGTGGGGCAGTGAGTTGACTTTTCACAGGCTGAAGGCCCCCTGCTGTGTGTGTGCTTAGAGCAACATTAAAGCACAGCCATTTGCCACGCATTAAGCCTCAACTGTGTGGAGTTTGTGCTTTAGCTGAGAGACTTGCTTTCTTCAGCTGCTGATCGTGCTCTTACCTGCAGATTTGACTTTTGTACGCCAGAGACAGACACAGTAGCCTTGTTAGTCGTCTCCCATTGACCATGGCCCTTGTGGGCTTTGGCCTCCACGCTGTGAGGGAATTAGCTACACGAGGTTGTCGCTTGAGGAGCGCCTCTGGATCTCCTAAAATGTTTGTTTTGCTTCCTGGTTTCTCTGTCCTCGCTGTTTACCTTTTTCAGAGGAACAGCTGTTGAGAATGCTGGAGATGTGTGTCTGTAACCCTGCAGTGTGGGTCGATGGCTGGTGCCAAAATAAAGAAAAGTAGCACTGATGGCTGGCTGTTCACACCAGTTGTGTCTCTGAGGTCTCTCATATTGTGTTTAGGGTTAAAAGGAGAGAATACCTTCACATCCTTTATTCTTCCCAACTCTTCAACAGCTGTCCACTAACACTAATATCTCCACCTCAGCACTAACGTTCTCACTATGTTTTGGAATCAAATCAGAATCACTTTATTTTTATCACTCAGTTCCTAAGCCTGGGTTTCGATCCAATGCCTCTAAAGCTGCTTTATGACAGTCTCGATTGTGAGAAGTGCTATACAGATGAAATTGAATTGAGTACCACAATTTCAACTGACTACTTTTATCCTGTTTTCTACTCTCTAGCCCAAACAGTAATGTTGATTCAGTGCCAAGTTTTGACAGCCGCAGTTGAAGCTGTCTAGTGTCCAGCGCTCATTCTGAGTGAAAGAAAATTTCACTTGTTTGTTATGGATTATATTCTGATATGGAGCTGTTTAATGATTGATGAGGCTTGTTTTTTTGTGCTTTTGTGGTGTTGTTTTGAAGAGTAGCTCAAGATAGGGATAGCAAAAAAAGCCTTTTTTTTATAATGCACAATACCTTAGAGATGTCTGGTTACCAGATTTTCTTTTCTGATACCAATATTAAACTTTGAGCATCAGGTGCTTTTAAAATGAGCTGTTTTCACTATGCAAGTTTTGTGGGCGTGCAGTTGGGTACAATGTGCAGAAGAGCTTTTTGTAACATTGACTGTGAATTTTGAATCTGACGATTGTGAGTGCGTTGAACAAAGAGAGCTCAGTCAAAACTTAGTGAATATGTCTCTCGAGGATGTAAGTTTAATTATGTACTGTCGTCAAACACTCTGCCTCAACATCACATCACCTAGTGTGAATGAATGCTTTTTTAGACTGGATTTGTTGCAGGGTTAGATCAGATTCACCCCCCAATGCTAGTTAATTTTTCTCGTTTTGATAAGTTGGAACAGAGTAAATGCGCATTTTGTGTGTCCCCTTTAAAACATTTTAAAAAATGCCAACAAACTCAGAGGTCAGTGAGGTATTTTATTTTTGTTTTATTTTAATATTAATGTTTGACATAGTGCAGCAACATCAGGACTAGTTTTGCTCTCTTGAACTCTCAACATAGTCAGGATTCAGACTCTCAATCTCCTAAAAATAGAACCAAACCTTAGTCAGCTGTACCACTTGCAAACCTCGTTTTTATGACAAATGTAGTAGTACTGTGTTGTAGAACGTGATATGCACAGAAAAGAATAAGGTGTCTGTGCTGTGGAAGGGCTTCTTTCCCTTAGGCCTCTAACAGAGCTTTTTATGGACTATTTTTTGGAAGTCCAGTTTTGTGTAATTAGATGTTTTTGTGTGAATTATAAACCAGTACTTTACACAGTGCACATAAATAGACTAACTGGCACAATTGACTGGAAACACCCCATACAAGTTGGGGAAGAAAGGAGTCTGTCTTTGTACAAACATGTTCTCCTAATGGAGGCTGTAGACTCAACATGTAATTAGGCAATGTTTGTGCTTCATGCCACTTCCCAGTTTTCTGTCTTTTGTTGTCGTAGTGGTCAGTAGCCTATTTGTTACTCAAACCATGAGTCAAACATTTGTGTGGCTGCGACAGGAGCACAATGACTGTGCATATTGCAGCACTGTACTTTTCCTGTAATGTGCTTCTGTCTCACTGGACTTTGACATTGCCCGCACATGTTCACTGAGAGCTACATGCGTGTTTGCTGGTTCTGTGTTGCCAGCAAGCAATGCCTACCCACATGGCACAGGATTGAAGCTCTCATGATGAATGCCGAATAAGCGCTAAGTTAATCTAGTTCTATCTGAGAAAACATATGTGAATGTATTACATTTTCTCGAGCAAAAATCATAGTGAACTGTTGTGCTAAGTAAAAAGGTTCATGTGTTGGCCGCAGATAGGGCAAATATGTTGTCTGATAGTGAGTCATGCAGTGTACAGGTTGTTTTCTGTGGCTGTTTGAACAAATAGACTGTTATCTACTTGAAAGCTATTGTTCTCATCAAATGAGTGATTATTTTGCCCAGATCTCATTCAAAGGACAGACTGTACAATGTCCTGTTACTGTGTCCTCACAAAAGTGAGCATGGTGTACCCTTTGAAGACAAGTAGTGATCAGAATGTGCACATTATCATTGTAAGAGTGCAGGTTAATCACACTGTAGGGGACAATCAGCTATAATCCACTCTAATTGGTGGCGTCTCTCCACAGATTGCTACGCCTGCTCAAATACCAGTTTTAGTTCTCTTACTTGAAAGTCAATGAAAACAACTTTGGAACAGTAGTTTTGGGCATACAGGCTCTGCCACCTTATAGAATCTAGGCTATGTAAGCCCCCATACCAAATTACAAAAGCCCAGTGGCATGTTAAGCTACACTTGTCGTGAAATCAATATGACAGTGTTACTTGGTTGGTCATTGTGTGGTTTTATATTTTGGGGTCTCTAATAAGGTTGTCATGATTATTGTGTGATATTATGTATTTTAAATTCTACTGATCTCTCCTACATTCGTTCCCTTTCTGTATTTAAGTTTATAATGACTACATAGTTTCTTTTTTTTCAATAATCTGTTGTGGAACTGGTTAAGGTTTTGCATAGTTAATCATTGTTTAGTTAAATCCATTTATATTGTTTGGCCTATTATTAAAAAAAAAATCTGGTTACTCAA